CAGCAGTTCAGCACAGTGGAAAGTGCATTTGCATCCACAATTTATGACAGAGAAACCTAAATTATTCTTTCTAAGGTACTTTCTAAGGTTTGGAGCAAACATATTTAGGTAAGGAGAGAGAGCCATCTCTCTGTCATTTGTTTCCTACAAATAATCTGAACTTAGTAAATTCTGGCCTGAATTTTGGAAGCACATCCATCCTTGGTTAATAACACGTCTCTTTATTGCCTTCTCTAATTTTTTATTTCTTGTCCTCTTGAAATCTCTCTAAGAGGTGCAGGGCCGATGCTTGTTGTTCACATGAGCTGCTTGCACCATGATCCCAGAACTGAGTGACCAGGAAAGGATGCAGAAACTGTTTCAGTCATGCTGCAAAATTACTTGTTCCAGATATTTCCTTCTGTAAACATGCTTCGAATTTTAATAATTGTCTCAAAATTGGACAAGAGATAATTTCTCTCCAATAGTCACTAAATAGACACTTTTCCTATTTCTCCCTCCAGTATAGAAATTGGGGTAAACATGCTAAAAGCATCTAGCAAATTATTAGAGCCACCTTGACCCCTAATTGCTCTTGTGCTTTCCTGAAGGTAAAATAAGAAGCTCTTAAACTCTATGTTCAAGGCCACAGCAACTTACCAGACAATCATCACACATACCAGAGAAAGAAGGGCCAGGAATCCCAGTGGATCCTATTAATCCTTTGCCATTACTATTTACCTCAGTTAAGCCCTTTTTCTGGTGGTTTTGTTTTGTGTTGTTTAGTATTATTTGGGGTTTTTTTTCTGTTCAGCCCATGTGTCTGAACTAGTAGCATGCTTATTTCACCTGGCAGCTAGAATCACTCAGCGCCATACACCACATCGCCTTCCACCAGCTCAGACCCACGTCCATGGTTCATACAGCTCTCTTGGAATGTTTTGCTGACTATAGCTTATGTTAGCTTCACTTTTGCTACCCACTCCCAATGGTCTGTACTGGGACTGCAGTTCCTGTGCATCTGTGCTTGTGGAAGTGGGTTGTGTCTGATGTTTTCAAGGTATTTTTCCCCAGACCTAAAGGCAGCATCATGTGGAATTGCAGAGAGATGGATGGAGGACAGCAGTTCTGCCATGGAAGCCTTGGACCAAGGGCTCTTGCCACTGGAGGTGACAGTTTGCCACCTGGAAGTTGCTTTTCCTTTCTCATGCTGTTGGCAAGAGCAACGGCTGTCTGTGAAGGGAAGAGCAGCATTTCAACTGGCAGCGAGCAAAACTGAAGGCAGTAGCAACTGTAATTTTGAGGGCAACACAGATGGACTTGAATACCAGAGTAAAGCTGAAATCTGAAGATATCTCTCTTTCTTTTTCCTCTCTCATTTCTCCCTCTCCTGCCAGCCAGAGTGATCTGAGAATTTGTGCTAATTCATCAGCTGATTTAGCTCTTTGCTTGGAAATTTTGTTGTAGATGAAGGAGGTCACCTTAAGTCAACAACCAGAGTCCCTATGAAAATAGCCTGAGGATGGAGATATTAGCTCCCTTTCAGTACTGGGATCAGGTTTCCTTCATGCTACTTGTCTTTTGGCAGGGTGGATTTTTTATTTTGGGGGGGATTCTGTGTTTTGGGGTTTTAAAAAATTTCTTTTGACTGTCTGTGTATAAAGATCTCAACCAAAGAGAAATACATACTGCACTGAACAATAGTATGTTAAATGTTAATCCTCATAGCTGTGATAAACACGGAAAGAGCATTCAAGTCATTACACCAATCTTCATTAAGTATCTTGGTGCTGACAGATTATTTCTCTGGAATTTACTTGTTGTGTAAAAGAGAAGGAAAAAACTTTTCTTCTCCTAAAACCCCCTTTGAGTACTTCCAAGGTGATCATGCAGTTCCTTTTTTTCCCTCCAGAATGAGTTTTAATACTTTGAAAAATAATGTGGTTTTTTATAGGCTACATATACTGAACAGTCTAGAGGATTTTAAGTTCATTTTCACCTAGGGTCATTACCATACCTTTACGAAACATCTAAGCAGTCCCAAAGTCTTATGCCTAAAGTTGGGTTTTTTCCTGTAGAAAATAAGATGAGAAATTTGGAACAGCGTGCTAGGGTTTCTTATGGCTGTTCCAGGGCCAACTTAAAGACTTTATTGTTCTGGTGTTTGCTATAGCTAAGCTGTTCACAAATGCAGTGGATAAAAAAAGAGATTGAAATTACGATGTGCTGTACTACCCTAGTTGTGGTACACTTGAATTTATCCAAAGTAATGTATGAAAAGAAAGACATCTAGAAGGACTTTCCTGTCTGCAGTGACCCCAATTTTAAGCACAGGTTAGATTGGTTTACACATTCAGATACCTGAATGCGTTTTCCAGCATTGGATTAGAGTGCCTACCTGCTCTGGGATTTGGACTGAGGTTAAATAAAATTAGCATTGCAGGGCTTTGCCTTTGCTATGACTTTTACACTAGGGAAAATTTTTTCTGCAGGTTAATTTCCACATGAAGAAACACTACCCAAATTTATTTTAGCACTCAAGATGGTTCTTGTATAATTCTACTACTTAGTTCTCAGTGGATAGCTTTAAAATCTCAACAGAAAAAAGAAGAGCAACAATTTCCAGCTGTCGTGTAAGTCTATATCACCAAAGTACACTTGGCCATGACACCTTGAATCAGTGGGGTGGCAGCTAAGTCTTTGCATTGATGGAGTTTGGGGACAGTGACCTGGGGAAATGGGCAATGGTCTCTGGCTGTGCTCAGGAGCAGTTGGTGGGCATTAGCCAGGCTGTACTCCTCCACTCATTATACAAGGTTTTACTATCCTGCATCACTACCTTGAAGGATGATGGGAACCTTAACTTTGACAAGTTACTCTAGTTTTCTGAAAATGGGCAGGAATGCTTTCAAATTAGCTATTACAGTATTTATAGTTTCTGCCTTTGCATCTTGGGCAGTTTATAAAATAAGAAAGTTTGAAACCTAGAAAAAAGCAATAGTTCTAGATATGACCTAGAAAACAAATTACCCAGTGAAGTCTCTTGTGCTATGATGAGTTCATCAGCTCATCTCTATTAACACCTCAAAGTAGTTAGATCTCACAATTCACTTGTAATCCCAGAAATATTCAGGATGTGAACTGAAGCTCTGTGTCCTGAGAGCAAGTCATTACATGCAGGTTTCAGTTTAGGAGAGGGAGGAGCACTGAAGGGTAGCTAATGTGCTTGAGCATAGAGTTGCAGAGAAAACCTGGAATGAAGGCTCTGAAAGTATGAGGTAAAAGAAAACAAGCCAGTATTTATTATTAAAAATATCTTAACGATGAATCAGTTGTGAATGGGTGGGACTAGCAATGCTACCTGCTTGGGCAGACAGAAGAAAAACATAAAAGGCCATGAAGAAATCCTAATACTGAAAAACAGTGTGTGGAGGAGAGGTAATGCTGTTATTTTCCCACTTATCTTTATCAAAGAATCAGAATGTTTAAACCCCTAAAAACATTCTGTGACAGTCATGATGGTACAGAGGCACACAAGAGTGAAAATGCCTTCTATTGAGAATTCTGAAAGGAAAAAACTAAAGGAATTTCACATGCACACTCTAGGCTGAGGGCATTGATTTGCTGCTTCTAAGGTCTGGGTGACTGAGTGTCACATCAGTGCTCACAGACAAATGCATACCTGCACTTGATGCACAGGAAGCTCCAGACAGTGTCAGGACCCTGAAGAAAAATTGACCAAGGCAGCTTTATGACTAACAGGCAGCATTCAGCCACGACACAGCTTATTAAAGGAATAAGCACACAGGCATAAGTTCAAAGTAGCTTGAAAAGACCCTGCAGCTGTGAGTAAATATGTTCCTTTATGTTTGAGACATTGTGGAGTGCTTAAACACGTTATTGTTTTTATTATGCTTGCTATTTGCTCACCAGTTCATTACCAATTGTTTTTGACACTGGAAGAAAATCCAAGCAGCACTTGCTGTATGAAGGGATGATGAAGCTGTAGGGCTCCTGACCATGGGAGTGAGGCATCTCCCCACCCCACAGGGACACACCCTACCTTTATGGGGCTGCTTAGGAATTGCAATGGTCTAACTAGTAGAGGTTTGTCTCTGTTCAGTCATCGCTATGTTTTAGAAATTAGTTCTACTCGTGGTGCCCCAATGAGTGTCCCAGTCCCTGTGCTTTTGCCACCAAATGTTCCCAATGGGTGTAACCTGGGGCAAAGACTGATGCCATTTTCCTCACAAGATGGCAAATCCTTTTCAGGCAGCACATTACAGCTGCCCAAGTGTCACTGTCCCATGGCTGGTCACGGCACTGGCTCTTGATGCAACCTATTCCTCCTTTCATCAGGTAGCTCAGCCATAGGGGAACACCTTGTCCCATGGCCGTGGTTATCTTCAGGATGACTCGGGGGACATGGTTTGGTCCCGGTCGGTGAGCAGAGAACGCCTTGTAGCAGATATTCCACCCCTAGATGCACAACACCGGGAACAGTGGGATGCTGGAAGCTCTCATGTGGTGCTGGCTGGTGTGGGGCTGGTGCCAATCTTCTGTGACCCTCTGTTCTCTCCGTGCTGCTGTGGCACCGCCCGCCGCGCTGGAACGTCTTCCCCCCCACACACTGTGGTGCTCGGGCCTCATCTTTCACACCTAGCTGATCCCGACGCTTTCTCGAACCCGCCACGAAAGCCCTCCTGAGCGTGGTCTGGGCCGCCAGGGTGTGTACACGGGTTGTGTGCACGGGGTATGTGCCCGTGGTCCCAGGGCCTGTGCCCGAATTTGTATCCGGGGTCACTGAGGGGGCCCGGGGTGCGTTCGCTGTCCGGCCAGGCCGTCCCCGGGCACCGCCGGCCCCACGCTCTCGCCGTCGCGCTACCCCGCGCCGCCCGGCAGAGGTCGCGCTCCTCCTCCCCCGCCACCACCCTCGCTTGTCGCGGTGCTTGCCGGGAGCTGTAGTCCGGCAAGCCGCGCGGTGCGCGGCGCGGCGAGTATTGAGGACTCCCACTCCCAGCGTTCTGCGGGGCGCCGGCCCGGCCGTGCCTTTTGAATGATTTCACTGCGTTCGGCGCTTGCGGCGAGTGCAAAGGCGGCGGGCGGGATCCAGGGAGGATCTGCGGCGGGTGCGGCGCGCGCCTGGCCCGTCGATGGCGGCCCGAGTGGGCCCTGCCGTGGCCTCCTGCGAGCCGTGCCGCTGTTAGGAGTGGTAAACGGGCTGCGCGTTCACCCCTTCGCCCATCCGCCTCGGCGGCCGGCGGTCCCTCCGCCGACATGTCGCTGGCCATGGAGGAGGAGGAGTACGCCCGCCTGGTGATGGAGTCAGGGCCCGAGTGGCTGCGGAGCGAGATCAAGCGTCTCTTCCAGGAGCTGGGCGAGACCACCCGGGAGAAGATCCAGGCGGCGGAGTACGGGCTGGCAGTGCTGGAAGAGAAGCAGCAGTTGAAGCAGCAGTATGAGGAGCTGGAGCTGGAGTACGAGACCATCCGCACCGAGATGGAGCAATTGAAGGAGGTGAGGCGGAGCGGCTGCAGGTGGGCGGCCTGGTCCAAGCGCGGCCGTGGCGGGTGGAAGGGCGAAGGCAGCGCGGAGCATTGGGAACGGGGCCGCTTTGGAGTCGGGGGGCGGCAGATTGAGGGTTCCCGGGGCTGCTGTGGGGCGACCGGCGGGTTCCCAAGCCGGTCTGGCTCTGGCAGGGCGGTTGCCCCTTCCCCAAAATGACAGCTCCGAGGTGCCTGGCTGCAGGCCGGCCCAGAAGAGGGAAGGGATGGGGAAAAAAAGGCCTTTCTGCTCCAACCTCCGCTCCGGTGAAAGGGGAGGGAAGCGGGTAGACGCTTTTCTTTATCTTTCCGTCCCGTTCCGTTCCGCCTCGGGATCCGGTAGGTGGGCCGCCCCAGGGCTGCTGTAGGGCGAGAAGCCGGGTCGGGGTTGTCCCTCCCCGGGGTTGGGGCTGCCGCCACCGCGCCCCCTGAGCAAAACCCAAGCAGGCGGCGGGGGGCGAGGGCCGGGACCAAGGTGCGGTGGCGATGCTGTCATATGCCTTTGTCATATGCTTTTGTGTGGAAGGAGAAATCTTACGTTGGTGTTAATCGCTTACTCAGTGGGGACCGCCACGAAAATAATACAGCAGACAGTTCATATAGCTTTGGTGCAGGTCCTGCCGTTGTCATATTTTTTTATTACTTTCTATTTTAAGGGAAATTCCAGACCTAATCTGTACAGGAGAGTAAAGTTTGTCAGTAGAAACGCTGTATTAGGCAATTTGCACACTGAGTTCTTCTCATGCAAGATTTCCTCTAGGTGTGGAATGTGAGAAAAGTGCTGTGAGGGGAGCAGTCAGAGAATGCATAGTGGTGGTTTGCGCTCCTTATGAGCTGATCCTGTCAGCCCACTGTAGAGCATGGCCTATGGGAACTTGTCTGTGTATAGCTTTGTTTGGTTCAGTGATTTGGCATGCAGGCAAACCTAGTGCTGCTTTTCAGCTGATTAAGGCCTTGCCTTGTGATACAGCCTAAGAGGTGAATATAGGTGGATTTGACCGGTACAAATTGTATCCAGTGGGACTTAGCTTTAGTTTATTCAGTTGGAGATGGATTTAAAGTAAAATCAGAATACAGTATTTCAAAGGAAAAATAAATGCTTGTAACAGACTGGTACAAAATCAGCTGAATTGGTGAATGCCCTCCCTTCCTGCTTACTATATATCTTTTGGTCTTGTAAATAAAGCTTTATTTTGCTTTTATTGCATTAAACAAGTATAAGCAAAGAGATTAATTACTTTGAATTACATGGCTATAAACTTGTTAACTAAATATGCAAGCTGAACGGATATGCTGCCGTTCCTAAAGCCACTTGAGACCAGCACAGTTACAGCAGCATACAGGAGCAGAAATTTGGAAGTCAAGGGCAGAGACAGTTGTAGAGTTGAGCTCAAGGGAGAGAAAAGTCAGTAAACCTAGTTGGTAGGTGGAATGTGAGACATAGCGTGGAGAGGTTATGGGACTGGCCCAACCTCATTCAGCAAGGCAGTGTCTGACACACCAGTGGGAGCCAGGATGCCTCCATCACAGGTAGTGCTTTAGTCACTGGGCTGTGCTATGTGTGTTTGGGCATTACATGTTTTGACTTGCCGATGGAAAAAAGCTTGATGATACTGTCTTTTTATTCGTTTAGGGCTGTAACAATTGAGAAGCTTGTAAAAGCATTTAAAAAGGAAAAAAAAAAGGCAGAATCAGCAATGATTCACTCTTTTTTGCTTTTAACATTTTGAAGGATTTGCTTTGTGTGTTCATGTCCTGTTCTAATTAAGTCAAAACCTGGGAAGGAGATAATTCTGGGAACAGCTTGAGGACTCTGATAGCCTACTCAGGAAAAGAGCATTGCTCCTCTTGCTTTCCTGTGATGCTGTGCAGGAGTCTGGTTTGCTGTAGATCTTGTAAACCTTTAGCAGATGTATGAAGCATATGCTTGGAGAAGGAATTTATCATTGTTGCTGTTTTATGCACCTGTTTTTCCCACACTCAGTTAGAGGAATGCTGCATATGAGACTTACTACATGTCACACTCCAACCTAAAGGGACTCCACCTTGGGTTACTTAAGTTGTTCTTGGGGAATGTGGGAGATTGATGTGAAACTAGAACAGTATTGCTTTCCATCTCTTGCTTCTTAACCGTGACTTCATGCAGCCTTTTGAGGTATAACCCTTTTAGTCTCTATAGAGCTTACTTTGTTCATCTATGTTGAGAAGCTAAGCAGCACAAGGCCATGTTAGGCAGGGTGTGGGGCAAGCATGCGGTGGTTTTCTGTCCTGCTGGGTATTGTAGATTTGGATATGCTTTAATTAGTTCAATATTATGAATAACTCCTGTATCATGGCCCTGTTCATACCATAGGTAAACGGGTTCAGAGCATAGGAACTTTATGATACAGTTTGTTGAAAGTACAGGCTTTTCTGCTGTAGGCATCAGATCTTTCTGGCCAGATTCTCCTCCCTGCCACCCAGTCCCCAATGTGTCAGAAATTCAGAGCCTTAACCTCCACTGTTGTATCCCTTTGGTAAGTGTGAATGGCATTGTCAGAGTGGTATCCCATTTGGTAAAGGTGTCAGTGTACTCTCAGTATTTGCAGTCCAAGTTGTCCTGGTGAAAATGGGGAGCTGCTCTGTCCTTCCCGTGCTGAACCTCCACACCAACCCCTTTATAACAGGGGTCAGGTTTTCTCTAAGTTTGTTCTTTTACTTGTATGTGTGCTGACTTGATCTCATATATCTTTTAAGGTACTTTCTCCTGTATTTCTTCTCTCATTTTATTTGACAGAACAAAACTGAAATACAAACTGTCTTCCCAGGAAGACTTACTGTTATTTGACTTACTATTATATACCACCTTGACTTACTATTATATACCACCTTTGCTTTTGTAAAAAGGAATTAATTTCAAACTGTAGTAAAGGTTATGATAAATGTTTTCCCTAGTTCAGATCAATAAGATACTGGTTTTCTTGTAGTAAAATACTACGTTGTGTTGTGAACATATAATTTTATTCATTTTTTACTCCTTTTGGAGATGAAGTAACTTAAGTTTTTTTTCTGTAGGCTTTGTTTCAGCTGGTAAGTCACCCTGCAAGCCTTTGTGATATTGCCAATTATATAAATGACAGGGCTGACTACATGCCTGAGCAGAGACACTTTTCTTACGTGGATGATACATATGATCACACCTTTGTGCACTCCAGCTCACAAAGTGATTGTCTGAGGATTCAGTTATTGCTTTCCTGATGATTTGTGGGGGAATGTGGCATGGAAAGTTTGCCTGAAAAAGAGGTTATTGGCTTTGCTCAGTACTTCAGGGTTGCTTTGAGATGTCAGATTCATAACCAGCTACTAGCTCAGTATGAAACTGGCTGCTGTCCAAAGCTCCTTTCTGATTAAGAGGTTTTCTTGTATTGGTGATTGTAGAATTGTGTTTAAACCCTTGGAAAACATGGGTGTTATGATTAATCATTTCTGTAACAATGCAAAAATTCATAAGTGGACTATGTCTATCCTTAAAGTCTAAAAGCATATGTTAGTGTGTCACAGTTAGCGTAACATGGATGGTTTGTGGTTTTTAAGGGGGGAACAAGATCTCCACAGGGCTCTTAATTTCTTTGTATGGTAACAGTGGCCCTTGTTTCTGTTTTTTGCCTTTAAGAATCATGTATTGACTTTAATGCCATTTTATGACTTCTCTGTTGGTAATTTCTGGGTAATCTTGCAAGCTGACTTTAAAAGAAACACTCAGATAAGACCTTGCTGCTTCATTTCCCATGAAGCCCAAGTGGGGTGTATGATGCAGCTGAGGTGATGTGTCCCAGGCTGTAATATTTCTGCTGTTTGAGTTTATATTGAGGTGGGGTGTAGAAGATCTGTGATCGCTGACAGAAGTTTTGCTGAATTGACTTACATATGTACTAGTTAATTTGGTACGTTGTATTTCATCCAGGCTGGTTTAACATTTCATTATGTTACATTTTATTAATGTAATGTTGAACTGTGCTTCTTCAGAAGTGAAGGAGAAATCATTGCCTTTCCTGTCTACCTCATGTAGTGCTGTGTACCTTGTAGACAGACATTGTAAACTGCTTGCTGAAGTAGCAGTGATTTTCCCCACTGGATTTATCCAGTGCATTTTGCCAGTTTGTACTGCTGTGCTTATTTTGTGTGTAAGAACATAAAGGCAAAGAGGGAAGAAACAGCTAGGCTAAAGGTACCTAACTAACTCATGACAGACTGGGATTAGACCCTCTGTGCACATGAATCAATGGTGGATTCACCAAGTCTTTGCATTTAATTATGGTAAATAATGATGTTCAGTTTCAGTACCTCTAAGCCTCAGGTACACATCTGCAGCCTCTTCCTATTAAATATTCAGGTGATATATTGATTCCTGCTGAAAGGAAAGAATGTTAATATTTTTGAGATTGCCTCTAACTTTGCAGTGCTGTTAAAATCAAAGGATTTAATAAAATAAATGTTTACTTAAATTGGCCAGCTTAGGTGAAATTTAATTCTGGTTATACAGATGTAAATTTGGAGTAGGAAACGTACAACTGCAAATTGAATTTAGGAAACTGATAGCAAATTTGCAGATATTAAGTGAAAATGGTTATGCTTTGGTGAATCTGTCTTGGGGACTTAGTGGTGATTGTTACTTGGACTTCAACACCTGCTGCACTTTAAATGTTAGAACACAATTGCTGTCTCTACTGTCAAATCAGACTGAAAGCTGTGGGTGGGGTAAGCAAAATATTCCTGTGTAAATTAGGCCTCTTATATTTTGATAAATCATAGTTGCTTTATATGAAGAATAGAGGCACCCCTGATATTACTCTGATGTTTGCAGTGATATAGACACTTAGTACCATATTTTGGAAAAGCTACTTTTCTCACATATCCTTATTTAGGAAGAAACCAAAATGTGAAAAATTAAATGTTCCAATTCTTCCTGGTGTACTAGAAATAGTAACCTGTAAT